GTTAACAGCCAAACCACCCATCAACCGATTGTCGTTGAAAAGTATATAAAACGGGGAACTGCAAACAATGCTGGAACGGCTGTTCAAAAACTCTGAGATTCACATAAACTCCAAAAGGCCTAGAGTAACCGATACTGCTTTCTGTAGGAAATAATGAGATCTGAGTGAGATTCTTTTTTGAGAACACCGGCACGTAGCCTGCTAACGGGTACGTCCTTCGAGTACGCCGAGCATCCAGTCTGGTGTGAATTTAATTGGTCTTTGTACTCGGGGTTCATCAGACAGTATCGGTACATTAAGTACTATTGGTATGCGCCCGACGAGTTTGGAAATAAATATATCATTATGTAAAGTTGAATGAACAAGACGTAAATAGTAGTTATCAAAGATTTGAGAAAATTCTGTCGAAGTGACTAAGAAAATCCTGTTTCGGATCCATCCAAACTGACGAAGATGCCTATGGTACAAAGTTACACAAAGTTTCTCAGTTATTCCGTCTGACTCAATTTGGCCTAGGGGACCAAATTTTGATTCCAAAGTGCATTTTTGAGCACCTATCATGAGACGGTTCAGCTGGGGGCAACTTTGTGGGTACATGGTTTTTTAAGGGGAGAAAATAGGAAATACTCTGGTTCCCCAAATGCGTGGTTTTCAGTCAAGATGGGACAGGAATACGGGAACTACGTATGGTTACTGGTCAACTGTGAGGTTGAACGACCGCCATCGTACGCACTACTGATAAACTGCTTCACGAAATCAACGGAATTTTCTGTATGGGATTTGGCTCGGGACGAAAAGTAATTGCGCGCAAATCATCACGCGATGGGACACTTCAAAGTAGCGATGCAGACTGCAAGTAACAAGATTAGATAATGGTACGGATTGATGCATGAAGACACGCTGATCGTTGGATTTCAAATAATTGTCATCATTGTCATCGCTTCGTTTTGTGTTAGGTTATCTGAATTTGTTTCCTAATGAGAACAGCTCACGGCCAATATCCACCACGTTGTACTGGTATGTTTCAACCACCTCCTGGTGCATCAAATCAAAATATACCGACACCCACTCACCCACATCGATACCCAGATAGCAGTGAGTTTGATTAATTCCGCGCGGAAGTTTTAAGATACGGTTTTCGTTGGTCAGCATTCTCATGAGACATTCTGATAAGCTACGAACGTATTTCCTACCGGAGGGGAGGGGGCCAAACACTTCACTCTACTGAAGTTAACATCGAGAGGAATGCTGGAAGTTTATGTGCATTGTCCGGAGCGGTACAACACCATTTGTGTCTCACACGCACGCTATGTAGTGCTGTATCACAGATCAATCGAGGAGCATATGCATAAAACAACGCTAGTGTAAATTATGTACAGTTGGAACTCATCCAACCTTTAAGCATCAATCAAACGCTGGTAGGATAATAAAATGGTACATAAATACAGTTAAGCACGCTACTTTTCAGCCATAAACCTGATGCAGTGTACAGAGAAATACATAGGTGAGAAGTGGGAGGTGCAATGAAGGGCTGTTGTGGCTTCACCACGACGAAGCGCCCAGCCAGTTACCGTGGGATACAGGTTTACCGGCCTAAAACAGTTTTGGCCTGTCGTCAGAATCAGCATTACCGTTCGGGAAGCTCTGCATTCATGTATTTCTGTAAGTTTCACTTACTAGAATAAGTGCAGGGAATACAAAATGCACCTGAGTACTCGCATACCCAACAGTTTGTGTGCCAAGAATGCAACGAACGGATACCAAGATCGAACAAGATGGGTTAGATTGCCCCCGATTGTTAACATCTTACCGCATCGGTACAACTGGAAAACATGTTAACAAACGATCTACTCATGGATTGCGAGACAATCACCGAGTGAAATCTATTCTGCAGTTGCTCTAAAAACTGGCTACGAGTGCACGTACTTGATTTTGGCAAAGTTGCCACATAGAGATCGATCGATGCATGTAAACATACATATCGACAAATGCATTACAGTACTACTTCCTCGAAAAGTATTTTCGAGAGATGCCAAAATATTTCCTCGAGAAATGCTTCCTCTTGGAGAGAATACAAATTGAACCACCTCTCTCAACTTTTGAAACCATCGAAGAGAAACATTCGTTTATGAACACGCTTGTGAAAATTTTCAACATATCTTTAATTTCTCGAGAAAGAGGAAGATTTCGTTCGGTCTACTTGGCGGAATTAGAGCCTCTTTCCATTGGTCTCCGGCTATTTACACACCCTTAAGCATGATTGACCAAGATAAGACAGCATTATTCCACAGGTATTGGCGAGAATAAATCAACCGACCCGATTGAACAGTGAACAAAGTAAAGAGCTGCACTCCTATCACGACGGATACCTCACCCATCTAGGCCATCTTGGAGTATCATTAGTCACAGGAGGGTCAAGGCACGTGTTCGGATAAATATCGTCAGTAGATTAGTCAATTAATCAACGTCGGTCCATGGCAAACCCATTGTCACTGAAAAGCATACTTATTGGCCGTTTCTGAAGAGTGTGCACTCGATAGAACATGCGCCTCCTCTTGGGAGAGGTTCCCTCCATTAAAGAGTACTGTGCTCGATTAGGGTAGCGGCGGGAACTTTGGGGATTTAAAGACATTATTTAAAGTACTGCTTAAAACACTAAAAACACTGTCTGTTAAACGAGTTGACGACACGTGAAAAACAAAAACTGACGAGTCACGATAACCAAGACATGAATACGCACATAAAGTCAAATAAACGATACTGGAAAAGCACAGAAACCGAAGAACGAACATATACAACTACGCATAAATCTCATTGAGGTGGTAACTCAATCGTAAACCAACACTTACCTTCACGGACATGGTTCTTCCGGTCAGCCTGGAAAAAAATGAAAAACTCGTAGAGAACAGCACACCACTGATGTACTGCGGAGGCACGTTAACTTGCACTAAGCTTTCAAACTGTCTATATTAGACTTGCCGCATAGACAACTTTATAAGTAGCTGTATCACAGATGTCTTGAAAACACTATATACACTGGTTGTTTTATCAATGGAGGCAAAATTCCTCCACAATCATCCATCGGGCCACTGAACACCTGAGAGTGCCAAGAATACTGACGACTGCTCTGGATGCTGCCTCAGAAGCCTTAATTCATTATCCCCATGCTACATCGTTGCGAATGCGGTAGCTTAGCTAGAAGTACGAAGGGAAAGATTCACTTGGGCAAGAATAACAGTCAGGCAGACTAGTTGAGGAAGAAGGGAGTTCCTCCTAAAGTCCTGCATCTTTCAAAGGTCTACGTGGCTGACAAGTTCGCCACAGATCATGCACTCTTGCCCTTTTTCTTTTATTCGTAATGGATGTGCTGCTTGAGCCTTTTTCACCTGCCTCTCACAGCTTGGGCATCGAAAAACTCCAAGGGCGATCGCTCACCGACACGATATCATCGACGATATCATTCTTCTTAAACGCAAACTACCTCAAATAGCCTAAATAATTCTGCGTTTAGCACCTGTAAAATGTGAAGTAATACAGAAAGATTGGGTGGGAGAAAATCCAGACCTCACGTTTTAAGAGAATTGAACGATAAGACAGACAACTTCGTCCATCTGTGGAGTTGCATGAGTACAGGCAGACTGGCAAAAAAACGAAATCATATCCCAAATTAGAAAGCGCAGGGCGGTGTTTGCCGACATTTGTGGCACCGACGTGACATTAAGTGTAGAGTGCATACTGCTGCGATCTGTTCTACTCTATCGAGCGGAAGGATATGACCGATGCATGTTGAAGATCATCAAATACTCTCTGTTCCTGACCATCGATGCTTCCTAAATGTTGAGGGTGTCCGGTGGGAACATCAGATGCTAATGCTGAGGGGTGTCAGATGGTTTTGGGAGACTAACAGAGTCTGACCATAATCTGTGAGGTGATGAGTGTTGTTTACAGAGAATAAGGATATGAAACGTGCTATCAAGAGGCCGACTCCCCACTATTGGTGTGCAAGTTTTTAAGCCTTGAAAACGACTTTACCCAAGCTGATTATCTCTATTAGGAAATCCACAGGAATTGACCATGAAAAAGGTAGAATGGAGAGCTTGAACCCAAGTTTTTGTCCGTTCATATGCGTGTCTTATAAACAATAGCGCATCTTGCTTTTGCGCCTTCCCCGGTCCTGGTTTCATGCCGAAATCATTGATTATGGAAGTAACGAAGTAGTAGTTAGTGGTTAAAAACATTTAAACGGTTTATAGGCGGGCAATCGTGTTGTTAGGTAACGTTGTAAAGCATATATACCTCAGTGGACACACATGAAAGTCTTCCTAAAACACTGTCGCCTTAACGATCATTGAAGGCGCCTATCCCGGTTCCCAACTTATTAAACTCCTTGTGATGTGCAACAGCCCTAGTTTCAAGAGGGTAATTATTATCCGCTTTCACTCCCCGCGTAGGTTAAGTAAGTGCTCACTGTGTTCCCTTGTCACCTCAAACGAGCTTTCAGACGTAGCAAGCTATAGTCCAGAACGCCAAACTTGTCAATGGGGATTCGGTTGATAACTTTCGGACATTTTGAACCAAATCATCGATCGAATATAGTAATGCTTTCAAGAGACACAAGTGGTTTGGAGGGGCGGCAGGAGGCTCTACACCATCCAGTCAAAACCTGCTGCACATGCCCGGTGAGACCGATAAGCCCTTTCGCCAAGACAACTACGACTGGATTTCTGTATACGCACTCACCATACACCGAAAAAATAACTGACCGATTAGCAAGCATGTCTGAACAAGCTGTATCCGGCTTGGAGAAAAAGGAAACTTACCTAAACTGTGAACTTTGATTTTGTGCCTAACGTTCTATCACGTGATTACCATACGGTGGAGGCATCATGCAACAAAAAGCGCTTGGTGGTCTGATTTTACTGTTTTCCCGTCCTCGTTCAAGGAAATGTTGAAATGAACCAAAAATAAGACAACAGTAATAAACACCGCCTGGCACGTACCTGGAGACGAGCCTCTTGTTTTAGCTCCGGAATATAGACTGCTTTGTCTGACTGGTATTGCTTCTGGAGGAGCTGATCTGTATCCTCATCGCTTTCGAATTCTATAAAGGACGCAGAAATAAGAACCTATGGTTGAGAGTTCAAAATTTCGTGAAGTAAAGTGTCCATCACCACTGGTGCTTCACCACCGTACAACCATTTCTTATATGAGGAAGAAAAAACCAGAAGACGGAGCTGCCTATCACAAACATTCGAAGTGTCGAGTAAAGTGTTCATCACCACTGGTGCTTGACCACCGTACACCCATTTCTTATATGAGGAAGAAAAAATCAGAAGACAGAGCTGCCTATCACAAACATTCGAAGTGTCTACACCTCCAACAGTCGGCCAGACAATCTGGATAGAAACTGAGAGCATGGATGCTACTGATATAAGCTGGGTGTCGTGCATTTCAGTGTCACCAGCCAAGAACAGAGAGGGCCACGTAGAACACACGCAGGAAGGCGAGCAGCATCAACAGCATCCAGAAGAAAAACTGCATTCGCTTGTCATGTCAATTCTGTCCATGTCTAGGTTTCCACCACTTCGCTGTGAGCATGGAAAACGACGTTCTTCTCAATGTATAGTAATTCGGCATGCGTAACACACGACCCAAGCACTTTGACCAGTTCGGGTGCTTTCACTTCGTGAAATATGTTCCGCTTCATCAAAGACCCGCTTCCAGAACACCGCATTGTGAATTCACTGATTCAAGCAGATTCCCGTAGTAGTTTTGGGGCACAGAGGGTCAACGACCTGAAGATGTCTCCGCCCAGAGTGGCCAGGTCTCGCAACTATCTGTCTTCTGGGACCCAGTGGTATGAAAGTCTTTTGACGTCCTCAGCACGCAGCCGCCAGGTTTGTGATCTGCATAATAATATGAAGCGCACTGTACTCGACCCCTGACAGATAAGCTGATGTCACATCTAAGCGCCTGCTACCTCAATCGGCTAATCCGAAAGCATGAAGTTAGGATTCAATCCCAACCAATCCTGGAGCAGCACATGACAGTTTGCAGGATTGAAGCGCAGGCCAAATAGAGAGGGAGAGTTATTTAGTTTATTTAATGTTGTTTGCATTACTATGGCGTCGGATCCAAAAAGAGCTATATCGTGTAGCTGGAAGCAGTGTCGCTGTTCCAGAATCTGCCGGAGGGTGAAAAATGCGATCGATGCATCCTCCCGCGGGAGGAAACCTAGCTCGGTTTTCATGGATCTGTTCCTCCCTGTGTTCAGTGAACCTTTGAAGAATGAGACCAGAAGAGCACCTTCGATGCCGCAGCTGATGCCACGTGGATTTCACGCAGCATCCGTGTACCCTTTTCGAAGATATGAATAACGTCGACATGCCCCATTCCGCAAGCACTTTCTCTTCGCTCCATATCGCACCAATCTGGTTTGCTAAATGGATCACCAAGGATTCTCTGCCTTCTTTGAACAGGGCTGGATACAGACCGTCTGGTCATGCTGCCTTCTCACGTTTCAGTATGGATATTTTGTATTTTATTTCTTCCTCCAAATGGCAATTAAGGTCAACATTCCATTCGGCCGTATGCGTTGAAGCAGGCCAGCTAAAGTGTTTTTCGGTCCATCTTTCCAGTCACTTCTCGTTTCACTGACTGCTGCCTTCCTATGGCCAGTCGATCGTATCAGCTAATAGCGAAAACCTTCTCCATTTTCCAAGCTTTCGATGTCAACCGGAGCTCTTAATTTTTTCTTAAGTTCTTCACCATTTGGCGTTTGAAGGATTTGCGTGAACTACAGTCCTTTGGGACATATGCAGACAACACAAACAGCCACCGGTTATGTCGGATGTAATTCGGAGTGATTAAGCTGGATAAACGGAGAGCGAAGCGTGAGAAGGCTGGGTTCTTCCTTGGCTTTTAGACTGTATGGCCAGGCTTGAGTCTTGAACGTCTTTTAGAGACACAGCATGAATCAGTTCCAAGGGAGCACAGGATCTGGAGAAGCTCTGCCTGTTTGTAAATTCGATACACAGTACGTACGTTGGAAGCCCCTACGCACAGAGGACCTCGTGGACTTAGCAAAACGCTGTTTTGTTTATTGTGGTGTGGCGTGTTTAAGTTATGTTGATCAGACGACTGTCAATCAAATGACCTAGCAATGTTTGCTTGTGAAGTGGGAAGAGGTTGGGGAGGGATATCGGTTGACAACGTAATGTGCTAGCAAATGCTAGCTCCGGGTTACCAAGGCCGAGGAGGAAGGTTACCCCGCCTTGAGGCTTTGTCTCAAAGGTTTGACCCACATAACAGCTGAAGGATATAGTTTTGTTCGGGGACCCTCTTCCCAACTCCTCAGTGAAAAGTCTGAACCATGTGGACAGTAGGTTAAATCTAAGGGGGGCCCTTCCCAGAGCAGATGACCCGAGAGTCTGACATGCTCGGCTGTAGGATGTTCGCCTAACCTGCAGGTTCAGACATGAGGAATTAGTGCCTGATGCGACATCGCGCAGATGCTTTTTAAGCTGCATCAGACTCTTTGGTTTCGGAAGTTTTTTGACCACAATTAATAATGTGCCGGTGATCAAAGTCAATCGTTGGGCAAACGGAGTGGACGGGCTGTAGGGCCCACCTTTTCTAACTAATAATTCCTCGGTAGGAAGGCAGCATCGACGCTTCCATGAATATGGGCATGCTAGTTGCCTTAGGGAAATGCCTTACTGCCTTCACACTCCTATCACAGAGGACAGTACAACTTTACCACCAGACCGCCTCGTATCACGATAATTCGCAGTACGTAGTCCCACTTCTATTGGTCTGACTGCTCTTCTGTGGCCTCCCTGGTTGTATATTGTGGAACGAAGTTTCAGCCAGCGTAGCTCGCGGCAGCACTGTAGCGCTCAAGCCCGACCACCACGTCAAGGTGGCAGCTTTAGGTCGGGCCCCTTGTTGTTAACAAAGACATGATTTGACATCTCACTAAGGATTATTGTGGCCATATATGGAACCAGCCGTGGATACAGTACTTGTTAGTCCATGTAAATTGGGACAGCCGTGGTGCTTTTTATTGGAAGTGGACGCAGTATTTGTACTGCATATGGCATGAACATGCGTCTAAGTCCATATGAAGGCCTAGAGCTTAGTGTGGAAACTACTTTTGGTTAGGAGTGGATGACATGGGGATAAACTCAACGGTACCGTTGGCGATATGCGCGCTAATCGTTATTTTCACCAACGGAACGACTTTACACTGCTGCTTGGCTTTGGATCTAAGCAGGCTGGAAGGCAGAATATGGGACCAATCATGTAAATTGTGCGTGGATAGTGCGTTTTATCTTGAAGCTATTACATTCAGAGGCTCTCTTGAGCATTGAATCAAGAAATTAGGAATTAGAACACACTGGTGACGGGACATAATGGTACAACTAAGTTAACAACGTAATGAAGACCTAATGAAGACTACGGCACACATACTACTGCTACCACTACTACCACTACTACTAATAATAACAATAATAATAAAATAATAATAATAATAGTATAAACATGCGCCTGGCACTCTGGCTTATAATTAACACGGCACATCTGAGAAAGGACCGCCTAGGCACTCAAAAACTGCTCAATTCCTATATTTTAAGAAGAACCTGAAACCAATTTCCACCACAGGAGCTATGTTTTAAGGTATCACTCATCCTACGTTGAATCGCGCGAATGACGATACTGACAGCACGTGAAACTGCTGTTTGAATTAGCCTCATCAACTTTGTAACCAATACGTACAGTAAGCAGTGATGCAGGTGGAGCAATATGCTAATGATGATGGGATTAACTGCATCATAGGGTGTGGAGCCGTAAGGAAGCACCTGAGAAGCAACTAGGTTAATGTCTATTGATGAAGTAACAAAAGACGTCCGAATACCAGAAATCGGGTTGAAAATCACCTTCAACGCGTTTTGTTTTGAATCCGGGATGTCCGTTAGGCGGGCTTTTACGCGGAGAGCTTGAAGCTGCACCCATTTGTTTCGCAGCGAGTAGGTGAGGTGTGTTTCGGGTAGTAAGGTGTGGAGAGCCTGGCTTACTGGAAACAATACTTCCTTCGGTTTCAGCTGTTTTTGACCGTGAAGCCAATTCACTCAACGTGGGCCTGAATTTGGGAGACTCAGGATGTCCAGGAGAGTTGTGCATTTTCTCATTATCTTCTTCCTCGCTTGAACTATAAACAACAGATGACTGTTGTGGGAAAGTCCAGTGGTGCGCACGTCGATCAGAGGAAGGACTCAGTTCTTCAAGTCCATAGATATCTGGCTTTGAGCCTTCACTTGACGGTCCCAGATCCTTTTGTAGTGCACCTTAAGTAGATAATTCAGAGGAGAAAAGCAGCGCGAATAAATCACCCAATTAGTATACTGTCAGATTCAAAGGAGTTTTGAACGAAACTCCAATGCTGTATATTCTTCGACAGAATGTGGGTTATCTTAGAGTCTCGGGTAATGCCAAAGTAATTTGCAAACAAGTGTTTACCTGCATGCGCGTCCAATTAGGCGTTCGGGCTAGAAACATGATTGAAGGAAATTCGGGGACCAGGCCTGCCTGATGGGCACCAAAAAATGAAACCGGTAGTGGTCTATATACACAACGTCATATTAAGCTATTCACATAGTCCTGTTTCAAAACTGGAAAGCAAGTTCTACATATGTTAAATAGAGCATCCTGTATCACACTTACTTGATGTGAACACGAAACTCAAACAATTTATGAATCAATCTGTCGTTAATGTCTTTCTAGGGAGAAGAATCATTAATGAAGATTCGGAGACTACGCTTAGCTGATAAGTCCTAAACAGGCACGCAGGCTTCTCAATATAACGTACAAGGTAGTCCAGTGAACTACCACCCGCAGACAGTTGGGTTCTGACACTTTATCCAACGGGTAAGCGAAGGGAGAAACACGATAGCATATGGATGATGTTCACGAGGGGAGAGACAGAAAATTTTCATGCACGAAAACCCGAGTCTCAATTCTCTGCTGTAAAACAACAACTGCGACCAGGGGATATCCGAGAACTGGAAGTTAATTATTAATAGCGTCCCTAAGTCCTGTGTATTCGTTATTTATAGGTAAACAGTAATGAGATTCATGATCAATTCAATCAGTTTACTAGCTATAAACCGCGTACCATAAGCACATTGGTTCCAGTTGCTGCAGCAGAGCCATGGAGGCAATAGCACGTTCAGTTCGTTCGGAAACTGGGTGTCTACGCATTGGAGGCCCTAACCTTGATGCACGAGGGCTGCCGACTGCGCGACTGGGCTATTTCTGCCAGTGTCATCAACCATTGGTGAGTCGAGTCTCGGGGTCCCCATCCAGGGAAGCGGCAGGTTTCGACCCGACCCAAATTACTGCTTAGTGTTTTCATAGTTGATTGCCAGGTAACAAACTATCCACCTATTCTCAGCACACGGCTGGGTGGGAAGATGGTCTTCTGGCGTCCTAACCAGCGTAACCTATGAAGCATGACGGTCTTCTGGCGTCCTAACCAGCGTAACCAATGAAGCATGAGTAATTCCTAGAGACCACTTGGCGTACCTCAGCAATACTAATCCGATGTTCCAACCAGGCCCGACCAATGCTTCGGAGACACCGATGGCCAAACGCTGACATCTTTAGTATTTCCTCTGCACGTACAGACCACATCTCTGATCCATAAAGCAGTACGGATCGCACTGTCGCAGTGTAACCCCTGCCCCTGACAGGCAAACTCATGTGACGTCAGCGCCATAGGTGTTGGAGGTTGGCAAAAGCTACCCTGGCTTTCCCGATTCAAGAAGTAATCTTAGCTACAGACTCCAAAGAAAATTATGCAACTGCCCAGATAAACAAATTTATCTACCGTGTCGATTGGCTCGTCTGCAAGCATGAGGTTTGGGTTTGATTCCACCCAGTCTTGTAGTAGGAATTCACAATTAGCAGATGCGAAGCGCATGCCAAACCATGAGGCAGAGTTATTTAGGTTATTTAAAGTGGCTCACATTTTTGAAAGGATGTGAACCATGGATAGCAATATTGACCGCATTTTCAATGTCTGTGAAGGAACATCGCGGAAGCATTCAGACTCCGGAAATGAGACCCATACACACTGTCACAACCTAAGACGTCCAGATCAGATTTTTTACCGTTTGTGGCGGTTCGGACAGCTGCTTTGCAAGAACGATGGTGGAATATCCTAACCTCAAGCATGGGGCCACCACCTTGGACGGCTAAAAACTAGACTCCTTACGATCAAACGTAACATGGAACAACTCGGTCTCGGCATGACCTACGGAATCTGCCAATAAAATCGGGATTTGTGCGGATCCAACAGCTGGGCATTTCGTCCGGGCAGCGCCTATCAAAAATGTTACCGAATACAACTAATGCTGTCTCAAAAAGTGGTTTCTGTAAATTGAAATAATCAAGGGAGAAACTGGTAACTACCGATGAGCCCTCAGAAATTTTCCAGATCCACATGATACGGGGGAGTGAAGCTGTTCATTGTGACAGTTAACAGCAAACGGGTAAATGGAAACCACGCTGGAAGAGCGGGAACAGCAAATACTAAAACCGGATACACCAGGTCCAAGCTAAAACTACCAGTGGTTACATATGGAGGGCCCAAAGACGCGCAATTAATTTCAAAAACGAATAGCGTATTCATATGATCCTAAGAAAATCCCAGTTGCGATCAAAAAGTAACGCAAAAGACTCACCTGTGGTTGCGTTGGAACCTGGACGAACCTCCGGTTCTTCTACGCTCGCCTGTACTGTTAATCTCTCGCTTCAAATAAAATAGAGAAAGAGAATAAACCAGTGAAATCAGTGTGCGTAGATCCCGTTCTCGCAATTCTCATTGCAATGACTCTGTAAAACCGGTCCACATTACTTTGTTTCTTCATCGAAATTAGGGAATTAAGGTTGAAGCCACCCACTAAAATGCGCGGGTAGGCACCGCCATATGAAACCATTTAAACCGTCCAACTATGGAGATCAGTCACTTTCAGCTGATCCCATAAGCAGCCATCGTGTAAGTTTTCTCATATATAATTACAAGGTAACCATTAATCTGCGACAGGTTGCCATATTCTCTCTCCAGGTGCGATAACTTTCGAGCGGCTACATAAGCATTTACAACTGCAGCATTTAGTGCAGCTGTGGTGATGTCGCATACGAAGCCATAAAAATGAATCACCAATAAACTTGGACCGTCTCCAGATAACATGCTTACCATTGCACTGAGATAGACTGCGCAACTAGAACGACATACCATGAGCGGTATCCTGTGCTACTTTCTGTCGCTAAAAAGTAGAACTTGTGACCTACGCAAAACATATAGTCCTCAACTTTAATTTTATGTGGGCTGAAAAAACTGGAGGACATGTGCTAATTCATGGTCGAGATGGCCCAAGTGGTTAGATCGCGAATTTACTGACCGCAAGGTCCGTGGTTCGAACCCGACCTCTGCCACTCGACTCCCCCTGTCTAGGCTTGGGCAACCTGGCAGTATCCCAGCCCTCGTGCAACCTTCGGGTGGCACGGCAGATAGGCACCGAAAGGGTGCTACGGCTGAACGATTTTAATTCAGCTTATACGGGAAGACATTGTGATTATTTTTGACGCCCCAAGTAGCTGATATGAAATGACCCAACAACCCTACAGCATAGAAGAGTAGGTCACAAAGCACAAATTATTCACCGATTACCCTGAAAGTTGCCAACTCTCAAGTATTCAGCCAGAGCAATAGTATAAAAACCCCTAAGGAAAGCCAAATAGTGAGCTGTAAAAGCGATGGCCAAAAGTCGACAGAATAGGAATACAAATCCGGCTGGTAAAAAGCACGTACCAAATTCCAGTACTCAACGGAGTCCCACTGGAAGCGATGAAAGATGACTTCACGGCTTTATCACTGCCATGAATTTGTTTAGATGTTTGTTCACTGTTGACAATTTCACTCAAAGAACATGGTTTCTTTGAATTCTCGGATTCCGGGTTAATTAGGCGGAAATTATTTGAAACCTCTCCTTTGGAATGGGATATTACTACCCGGTCATCCGCCAATGTTTGCTTTATGTCATTCATTATGCCCCAAATATCACGCACGAGAGGTGGGTTGACGAGTGAATCGGAAATATAGTGACCAACCGGACTGGAAGACTGAGATCGTAATTGCATAGAGGCCGATGAAAACGGGCCGCTGCTTAAAGCTGCACTAGAACGAAACGGTATATTCACAGGGGTTTTATTCGAATGTGTTGATCTGCCGCTACATCGAGGGGTATCAAGATCACTACCACTGGAGAGACCATCCTCAACGCTGGGTAAGTTCAATTCAACCTGGTCATCGGTACGGCTTTCAAGGAATTCGGATACAACATCTGTTGGATAAAAATCACCGCCGTCACATTTGGACATTGTTTCCAAATTGTCAGTATTAGCTTTTGGTAACGCAGGTGGATATTTTAGAGCATCGGCTTGGTAGGCTCGCGAACTTGAAGTCTTGTGTTGGCTCTCAGCCGAACTATCCTTGATAGAGGGGAAGGGCGGGTTTGGGATGGTATCACTGCGCCGTCGGATCATGTCTGCATCAAGAGGAACTTCGACAAGCTCATCATCTGCGTTTGATATCGTCTGATTAGCTGTTTTCAAGTGGATCCCACGGGAAGCAAGCATATTGGTGTCACAAACCGTGTTGACCTTCATGGATATTTCAGTTGGTACCTCAGGAGTATCGTTGCGTTTGAGTAGCATTGGACTGAAGCGAGAAGTGCCTTGTGTGAAACATGGCGGAAGATCATGCAGTGTAGTTGGTTGGGTCAGCGCGAAAAATATGGGTTGACAGAAAGATACATCAGTTCTCTAGGAAAGGAGGTGGAAATAAGACTAGATATGTAACTAGAGTTTTTTATCAGAAGTGAAGTAGGTGAGGTTTCAACCGTCCAAGGTTCAAAATGATGTTTTACGTCAAATAAGTCCCATGAATACGGACGGTATGCAATGGAAACTGAAGACTCGGAACAGGAATCTTAAACTTTGACAACACGCGTCCAACCTCTGTGAATGGCCATTCTGAAATTATAAAAAACGAGGAAGGTTAGCTCGAACCAAAAGAGATATTACAGGAAGTCGGTTAACTTTGCAGACAAACATATATTTACCCATAAATGGCTGGTTAAATTGAGATGCGGACTCGTCTATCGAAGACGGTTGGACAAATGAACGCCCACACAAATCCGATAACTGAAGAGACGAACGCGCAACTGCGTGTGAACGGGGAATCCGAAGTGACAAGACTGACGACCAAACACGTGGAGGCCTTCTGAGAGCCACCGATGAGCCTTTTTCATGAAAATTTTCGTATGGTCTGTCCAAAAGGTACCCAGTACAGTCCTCCGTTCTGTATGGTAAGCCTCGAAGTCACCACCCATCTCACGACTATACGTTGTATTCTTTCTGGGATATCGAAGTCCTTCCCATATTGTGTGTGGCTCAAGATTGTACACAGCACTCGTCATCAACATTATTGACAGCATGACATCAGCGTTCAACACTGATGCTTCGCTGCCGTTCAAACATGATTTATTTGAAAGCTTAATTGTGGAGAAAACAATCAAGGTGGATGGGGAAGAGACTTAGCGCTAGGTCACTACAATTATTCCGGGGTGCATGCACCTCTAGACATTCATTCAGGCAATCTGGATAGAAACTGACAACATGAACGCCATTGACACCGATTAGCAACCATATCTTACAGCGTCTCCAACCAGGCGCAGTGGGGTCTCGATTCTGGAAGACAAGTAGCAACAACATCACTCAAAAGTTTTGTAAGGTCTTTCAATCAGCTCTACCAGGTCAGGGTTTGGCCACCTCTATGCTTCCGTCACTCTAAAATTGGGCGCGGAAAACAGCACGCTCTTCGGCACACGATGGTTCGACATGAACAACACATGGCCTAACCAGCACAGCTTCCGACGCTGGACACATTCAATGGAAAAACCCGCTGCACAGCCGAAAACTCTACTTTTAATTGCCTCGCTGCAGATTCCCTGACACTAACCCACATGAGCTATGGTTGAGTCCCAGTTCCGCTGTCCGAACAGGCCAAGTCTTACAGTCATACAACAAAAACAGTCCGCACTGTAGCCTGGTGGACACGTCCCCTGAAATTTAGGAATATACCGATTTGACGCCATAGGTACCTCAAATTAGCAAACACGATCCTAGCCTTGCAGATTCGTGTATTAACCTCATCGGTCAAAGTAGAGTCGGGACCAATATAACTAAAGAGATATGTAAACCCTCCAGACCTCTCTCTGGATTGCAAGTAGCGTGTTTAGTGACTACATGCTCAGGGGCCTCAACTCACTTTGTGCGTGCAAAGTACATATCAAAGAACTTTGGTTTGTTCATCCAGAAAAACACCTGCGCCTTCTCGTCTACGAAAACGAGAACGAAGTCTGCGTATTCCAGATGGACAGGGTTTTCGTCACGAGCCACTTGAACACCCGGGTTTTTAAGACCCTATAGCATTAGTCTCATTATTTGATCGATCACGAGGAGACTGGAATTTACAGCGCTGTGTCGGTTCGTGCACCTCCGCAACCCATTGAGGTTCAGTCTGGAATGTCCGCGCAACACTCACAGCCTCTCATACCGGGTTGGTTAATGTTAGATGTCTGACGAACAGTCTCCTGGTCTTCCAGGTTAGCAGTTGGAACATGCGTAACGACCTGTTCTATAAAAATGGTAGTGTACTTGCATTTTCAGTCAAACACTGCCGAATGTGGTGATGCTTTTGAGCTTTGGCTTTGGTTGGGGACCCTAATCGTCTCCCTGTCTAGATGTGGGAGCCCTGGCAGTATCCCACTTTACCTACGACCATGAATTGCACATATCTAAATATGTGGTACTCGAGACCTGGTGGAAGCACAGTGTGAAGAAAAACGGACATTTCGGACTTCCGGCTAGCTACTGTTCCTTTCAGCATGAATGGGGCTTTTTCGGTCCAAGAGGCAGCCGCTATATATCCTTCCATCAACAAAAAGGCTTTGTCGGGTAGGATGCCGAAATCTGTCACGTTTATTATCTGACATCATCAAAGGGGTGATAATAGATGTTGTTGTCATTATTCATCTGAGTCATTCAATCTGAAGTTCCCCACACCAGTTTCCTAAGTAGGCGAATTTGTTGGGGTCATGAGCAGGTCCCGTTTTTTGGACCCCCGCCCGCAGCAAATTTATCCAAGTCACGCCGAAAATGGGACCCTTAGGTGAATGGGCCCATTACCCTAGTCATCTCCAAAAGGGAAAGAGATGGCCCAAGTGGTAAGAGCGCGAATTTACGGATCGAAATGTCTGTGTTTCGAACCCAACCTCAGTCTCTCGACTTCCCCTGCCTAGGTTTTGGCAACCTGGCATTATCCTAACCCTCGTGCTTCTCTCGGGTGACATGGCAGCTGGACATCAGAAGGGTGTTACAGGTGAACGACTTTTTCATCTTCAAACAATGAATTGCTGTTTAAAACCGATGTTGAGTGCCTGACACACTATAATTAGCCAGGACATCCATGCTGTCCCTTGTAGAACCACACTGGTGGATGTTGCAACCAAGAGAACTTCGTCTTTTTCATCACTCGGAAATCTGTGGCCTCTCGCAAATGCGTAAATACATCATATGATCACCGTTTTGAACTTCGTTGCCGATGAAAAAAAGAAAAAGCGTTCAGCTGTAGCACCCTTCCGGTGCCTAGCTGCCATGCCACCCGAAGGAAGCACGAGGGCTGGGATACTGCCAGGTTGCCCAAGCCTAGACAGGGAAGTCGAGTGACGGAGGTCGGATTCGAACCACGAACCTTCCAGTCAGTAAATTCGCGCTCTAACCACTTGGGCCATCTCGCTGCCAATGGCCTACTCAACTACAGCTAGTGGTGGTGCCACAGCCCTCAGTACAGTTTCTAGCATTGTGAGAAGCATCCTTTCCAAACCCTGGCTTAGGTTCGATGGGCTGGTGATTTACTCAGTTTCCGAGTAACACCTAACTATAGGTATGATAGGCTCGTACGTTGTCTAAAGCCTAATTAAAAATATATTCCGAGTTTCCATCCTGATACTCCTGTCTCTCGTCAGCTCACGTATCTGTGCGTATGCGCCTCGATACTTCACTTCAAAAACGTTCATAATAGTGGACATATGAGAGCAAGTAGCTGGGGTTTCAATCCCGCGAGCCCATCGCCTTACGTATCATTCCCTTGCCTGTTGAGCCACACCGATGCTTTCATTTCGTGCTGCACCGATCATGTAGATCTGCTTCTCATTCTTAAATCCCTAGTTGCGGATGGCAGCAGTAAATCACGGCTTGGTCTCAAACATCACGTCCCTCGTAGATTTAAATAATTCAGTAATTGCGGTGCGAAATTACTGACAAAAGGTCCGCGGATCAAACGCAACCCGACACTTCGATTGATCCTGTCTAGACTTGGGCAACCTGGCAATCTCATTCCTCATGCTTACTTCGGATGACATGGCATTTAGACATTGAAAGGGGGTTACAGCTGAACAACTATCTACTTATCACTATTACCCGACTTGGAGCAGCTCGTCACTGTTATTCCGAGGACTTCAGATTCAAGTGAAGTACGCCCAGTTGCGCGCATGTCTCCCTCCCACTAGTATCGGCAAATGAAGAACCAGTGAGCAGCAGAAATTCGTACGGGGCGAGATGGCTCAAGTGGTTAGATCGCGAATTTACTGACCGTAAGCTCCGTGGTTAGAATCCGACCTCTGCCACTCGACTTCCCTGTCTAGGCCTGGGCGACCTGGCAGTACCCCAGCCCTCGTGCTTCCTCCGGGTGGCATGGCAGCTAGGCCCCGAAAGGGTGTTACAGCTGAACGATTATTAGAAATCCGCAAAACCCCTAAGACAGAAACAATGCCAAAAATTGGCTCACTCCCGACATACCAAGAAGCGCTAGCAATACTGCCAGAAGGACAGAGTGACCGTGTTCGGCCCCACAAAGGATTTCATGGAACTCACCGGTGGCCCAGAGCGCGCTTCCATCTTATACTTTCTGTCGCGGTGCAAACAACCTTCTCATCACAAAGGTATACTCTGCCTCTAACGAATGTGAAATTCGCAGAATGTTTGCAACATTCTGGTGGGACCGAATTTCTCCAGCGCGCCAGAGCCGGATACTTAAGAAGACGTCCCACCGGTTGGCGAAAAACTACTTTCTAATTTGCTCAGTAAAGCTCTTCACAAGAATTCAATCTTGGTGATTGGAGATAGAATGTTGTCACATATTTTCAAGCTCGACGACAGCCCAGCAGTGGATAGTTGTAGGTCCCTCAGTCTTGCCAGCATTCCGTGTAAAGTGACTGAACGCATGCTGAAGCGAAGTGGTGTGAACCACCCAATTACAAACAACGCCAAAGACGGATTCACACTGAAGTATTCCTACGCCACAAACCTACTCATTTTCATAGATAGCCAGACCAAAGAAAAGGGCAACAGACTCGTTAAGCTTAATTGCACGCCTATACCACTCTAACTCTCGTAGTTAGGAGCTGCTACAGCCGGGAAGCCTATACCACACAGGATGAACCGAAACTTTAGGCCGCTTGCCCATATGGCATCCAGCCGAGGTCTGATTGGTCGAAAGTCTGGACCCATCAGCCAATCAGGACTCAGTATTGGCCGAATGCTGGTTGTAAGTGTTGCATCCAGAGCTCGGATTTCCAGGTTATCGCCGACTACACTATATATATGAAGTACTACACAAGTGTTATTGATTTCCTCTTTGGAGTTAATACACGTTTTGCTCGTTCGGTGGTAGTTTTTGACGTGAACGCGAGCCTGTGAGGCTCAGACTGAGAACTAGGCTGAGGATAATAACGTTACTACAATTGGCGAATGGGAACTCACAGTGTCAATCCAATTTAATCAGCTCCGAGAACTATTGCAGCAACCACGAAAGCAGTTTGAAGAAGCGCAAATGAAGCACATTGAACCACTGACTCAGAGACTGCATATCCAGACTACATCAGCAAATAGGCGTGAGTCACCTATTCCTCGACTGATACCTCAGTCGCGAAGTTCACATTTAACCCTCCTTCTGATTACACTTTAACTTCCAGTATGAATGGTGCAAAGACATGTTCAGAACTGAATTTTCGAAGTTTGATGAAGGATGGAAAGTCAGATTATTGCTGCGAAAATTCGGCACACCGCGGCGTGAACGGTACGTGAACTTCATTCTCTCAAATCTGCCCCGCGACTCCATCCTTGATGAAATGATCAGAGCATCGTCACATATTTGGCGATCAGAAATCACTATTGATTATTTGCTACCAATGCCTGAATTGGTCAGGAATGATTTTGGTGATTTCATTACGTTTGCTGGTGTTGCCAATCGGGAATGCGAACGATCCAAGCTCAGCTCAGTAGTGAAAAATCTCAGTTTTGTATCCGGTCTACAGTCGTCCGAAGATGCTGATATCAGAAACCCGGTGCTTAACAGAATCGAACAGGATACTGTAATGACATTGCAGAGGGTCACCATCGAATTTCAACGCCCTATCAGTTTAAGGCACTGCACGCCTACGACCGGCAAGCCAGGTCTTACTTCAAGAAGCTATGCACGCGCAATCGATTCCAGCAGCCACGAAAATCTGACAACAAGCTAGGTTGAACCACATCAAGTTTTCTACTAGTTGCTGGCATTGCGGTGAACGGCACCTCGCTAGTTATTGTCGGTTTAGGTGTCATAAATGTTCCGATGCAGCACCCGGGGGGCCCACAGAAGATTTTCGTTGACCTTGAACTTTGCAGCCGCCCAGACATTACTGCGCATCTCATAATCGCGGTATAACTCGGTGACGGAAACATCCAAAGTTGATTTTGCTTGCCGACGGGAATTCGTGACGGTTCACATCAGCAACATCTTGGTTCGTTAGCAGCTTACTACGAGCTCCGAGATCACGGTGCTCAGTGAACGAATGTGGAAAAAATTGTAAACCGCATGTGGAAATAACCGAATACTGGGCACGTGATGCTTCCGGTGGCAAACTGAAGTTGACTGGTGAGGTGGACTGCTCTGTAAGCTTCAATGGCTTGACGGCAAAAGCCACGTGTTACCTGACCTCATGCTCCAAACTTGATTTCATTCGGCTGGATTGGATTGAAAGGCGTAGTCTTCTGTGAAAGCCGAGTGATTCTATTTACAACCCTCCGTACGCAGCACCCGGAAGTGCCCTCGAAAGGACTGAGGATGATACCGTTATTACAAGTTTTCAACCCATGGGCCATATTCTTCAAATTCTCAAAGATCTCAAAGCGATTCCCCCGCAAACAGCTGCCCTTAAATTCTAATTACACAAAGGGTCACAGCCATCATGTATCTAAGGACTCGCAACCAGCTGCCCATAAATTCTAATTACACAAAATTGAAGGGTCACAGCCATCATGTATCTAAGGACGGAATGGTTGTAGCTTTAACGCCCTTCAGGTGCCTAGCTGTCATGCTACGTGAAAGAAGCACGAGGGCTTGGATACTGTCGGGTTTCCTGAGCCGATGCTGGAGCAGTCGAGTTGCTTAGTTTAATTTTGAACTGCAGACCTTTCGTTTAGTAAATTAGCGTCTTAATCACTGAGATACCTTGAGCCCACGTCAGACACTTTAAGTAAAAGTTACGCAATTTACTTATCCACACCTGGTTGTTAACAGTGATAGTTCTTTGTGGTTCTCTAGCAGGTGAAGTAGTTTTTCTACTCTACGATAATGATTTTCTTGACTTTATTACAGGTCGAATCCCCCCTTCTTTGATAACCTCGAGTTCTGTGTATCCGAAGCAAACACGCTCCAAATGAATATCGAATCGGCGGCAGACTGACAACTCCATTTGAACGACCAAATACATGTGTATATGTATGGGTACACATGGAAAATCTGGGAACCAAAGTACTGGACAAAGTCTACGTTGGATAGGGAGAAGGATATGGGTAGTTGCCGGCCTCCCACTGTGTCCCCATTCATTGGTGAGAAAACTACACACAAGGCATACACCGTCACAAAGATGAGCAACCCTTCCTTCCTCCAACTGATGCCAGCAGATGACGAAATGTTGTTCAGCATATAAGGTAAGGTGCTGCTCGAGTAAATCAACCAGGTTGCCAATAGGGATTGCGAACAAAACTGTTATTGTAGCGAACGTTTCGAACGCACAGCCATGAAGATAGTTGCTCGTCTCCGCCCTACGCACTACGGAAGGCGTCTGAAGATTCCTCCTAAATATGGACTATTTGGCCTGATCGGGTAGGTGGTGGTAGGGTGGTATCAAACAAAAAAGTTTGTCACGAATAGGCCACCCGCGAAAGTGCAATGACCGCATCTGTGTGCATAAAGCAATCGGAAAGCACGCGAATTTCATTTAACATCTGTGCGTATTAGTCATAGACGCTTTTTTCCGGCAGCCGACACATGTTCCATCGCACTGCCAATAGCTATGTCAATGCCTTTCACACGTAGCACACAAATCCAATCAAGGCTTGGATGTGCTGCGTCGCGCACATCCGCGGTCTATCTCTAAACTCAGGGCCAACCGTATATATGTCGCCGACATGCGGGATGGTTTATCCTGGCAATGTGGAGAACAGCCATGAGGAGATATGCAATACTTGCTGGAAAAAGTGAACGCGCTGCTCTGACAGTCTACTGAATGCCGTACAGAAAACGTTCTTGGACGCTTATTGGCACGAAAAAGATGCATGCTTTGCATCACTGTGGTCGAAAAGCCTAGAGGGACGGCTACCTTATAAACAGGTTCCACTCAATGCATGCAATTTGCCGGTTTTTAAACACCTAGGACCACGATCAAACACACTATAAAATCATTCACTTGAAAACTAACAAATAGAGACGAAGTTATTTTGACTGAATTCCTTTCCGCTGCAAGCCCCGGTATGCTCTTAGACGTTAACAGCAGTGCTGGCAGATGCACGCGCTCTAGTTGTTTGGTTTTGACATTCATTTGCGAGTCCGTCCTACACGGCTGGGACACGTATTTGAGGAGGCTACCTTATGTGACTGACTGTCTCACTGGTGGTAGTCATCGGACTGTGTTTAACGGAACGTTGCACGTCTCTCAGAAGCTTTTCCAAGACACTGAAATACCCTTCACTTATTTGTGGAAAAATTTCATACAGATAGCTGAAAAGTGCTAGCTGTTGTAAAATTGGCAGACTGATATACATTACCATTAAGAAGTTGGTCTTTCGGGAACTTCCTACTGCGCCGGTGGCCAGAGTTCATATCAGATGAACTAAAGCATGTAATCAAGTTCAAAGAGCAGCAAGAAAGATGGTGGTCTCATTACACGGAATTTGACTTTTGTAGATTTCGTGGTAAGGCAAATTAACGCGCAAATTTTCTGCTTCCAAGGCATCACCTTGTTTATCACACCGACTTTTATTACGATGAACCTTGCTCGCTAAGCGGTGGAGATCCCTTTTTCCGATGTGAGCACGCATGTCGCTCAATAATGTTATCTGGGTACCATTGCCTAAAGAAAACAGCTTTGGCTAATCTATCCTGAAATCCACTAGGGCTGAGACAAAGGCTGAGTGCTCTGTACTTTTGCAAACACCACGGGCTCATATATTCCGTTCCAGCGAAAAAGAATTCAAAGCTCTGAATGTCCTATAAAACACTAGCACAAGTGCTTCACAGAGCCAAATTAAATGCCAAACGGTGATGCACTAATCTAGGCCGTGTGATTAAGAATCCCAGAGAGCCCAATTGGGAGCAATCTACAGTTGCTATGTACTGTTTGGGTTTGCACTCTGTAAGGGGCCTTTCCAACCGAATGAAAGCCGTAAGTCAAAAGTTCATGATTTTAACTTGCCGGAGGAATAGGTTGCGCAAATTAGTACGGTACCAACTTCATCAAGTGTTGTGGAGGTTACGTCGTAAGGACTGCGATAGGTTTAGGTATTAAGCCGTTTGCATATTGCGACTACTGTTGGTGAAAATGACTTCAACTCTTACATAGCGTTATAAAGCAGCATTCCAACGAAAACTCGACAGTTGCAGAAAGCTCATAGACAACGTATAAACGGTTCAGATCTCTTATAAATGTTTCACAACATAGAGTAAAATGTATGCTCTGAGGGGACTACTTTCTTGCATCTTAACGCGAACTTGATGATATTGGTGGTGGTTTCTCTCAATCGCTCTCCTGAATTAAAATTATGTTTGCTTCCTCATTTGTCCATTTAGACAAAAGGATAACGGACAAAAATTATACAAAAGAATAAGCCTTCGGCGACTTTTGCGTCTGAGTGTACTGTAGGTTATCTGGACCGCACAATACACTCGTGTTTGCATAATTACGTGTATCATAGGTCTCATTTAATCAAGTCACATTATCCAACGAGCTACGGTGTATTTTATGGTGCAGCTTTTGATATTGAGACATTTGTTGGCCAAAATTTCTTACATGAACAAATCGACTGCACAATTTGTTTGCAGAGAAACTACTTAAGCATGCTATGAGCAATAACCTCATGAACACCCAAGTTTCCGGTGCGCCACTTCATTCCTCAGACACGGGCATAATTATGGGTAGAACTCTTGAGAGACCTGTAGAGAGCCTCCGTAAAATCCATCCCGATTGAAGTAGATGTCACCGTAATCAACCTATTTCTCCAAGGGCTCTCGGTATTCACCGATCCCGCCGTCACCGTACACAGATTGCCAAGATAAAGCGATTTCCAATTTCATTACTTTCCTGTAACGTCTTTGCGTCGGACTGCTCACATGATTGATAGGCCCCATACTTTGCTGGTGGAATAACTTTGTCTTTGCGTCGGACTACTCACATGATTGATAGGCCCCTGGTAAATAATTCAATCAAGAGCTTCATAGCTAAATGGTAACATTGTACGTCTGATGGTGCATCAACTGATATTTTCAGGTTTCTCCACTTGCCGACCAATCCGAATTTTGCAAATCAGTTTGCGATATATTTGAGCAATTTCCTAGTTGTCTACTGAAGTCTTCAGTCAAGCAATTTTCATTGCTTAATGTTACGTGTCCAAAGACATCAGATTTATGCCCGGTTGCTGCTCATAGACATTTTGGTGAACAGAAATTTGGGCAGAAATCTAGACTCCTGGGTGCACCGCAAAAAGACCTACTGAGCATACACTGAACTATGTAGGCGATCCCCAAACGAAGCACCCGTGGAGCTTTGTTTTGAGACTTCCACAATGTCAGCAGCGCCGCAAAATTACGGAGAGCGGAAGACACCAATCTATTCAAGAACTCTTGGAACTTTATCAAGGAATTCTTCCACAAGTAGACATCTCATAAGCAAGCGAGCTGATAGAATTATGGACCTCACATCAACATGGCATCTGAAATCACAGCTAGATTATCAAAGCATCCTTACAGCCTACATACAAGATACAACTTCGTGCAAACTAACCTCAATGCCGAAGAACAACCGAGGCAACAAAGAGTCGAAATGTGACGCCAAACCAACTGCAACAAGGGTAACACATTATGTTGAACAGAGACGTTGGGGAGTATCAGGAAGGCAAGATTCCTGAAAGCAACTTCAGAACGCTCGAAACCTACTGCTCCACCAAAAACTCAACTGGAAAGCCGGCGAGCATCCAGGTCAATCAATCATTCAATCAATTCAGCAGGACCTGATGAGTGTTCTTGCGGCCACAGAAGCACGCCGAATGTGATCAGCGTTCGGGCTTTTCACATAGGCACAATCGATGTTGATGGGTGTTCACGAACGCCTATCAGACACCCTGGATCAATGTCAGAAAGTCCCC